GCGGGAAGCGCCATCTCAAAGCTGTGAATAATATGATTGTCTGGAAACGCTATCTCAAAGCTGTGAATATTGGGATTGTCTGGGTTATAAAAGTTCTCCTCTCTGTGCTCTGCAAAAGTAATCAACGAAAAGTCTTGGGTTAGGAGCTGTTGGGAGCATAGGGGGGGGGGTTCTTCTCTTCAGGGAAAAAAGTGTGGAGGTGGGGAGGGGGGTTGGGAACATGACACAGAGAACGGGAGAGGACACAAAGATGGAGAGAACGTTCAGTGAAAATATAGGTCAATAAAGAGAACTGTAAATTGCGTATCACCTGCAGCAGTCGAAGAAAATGATATTACTAAAACAAAGAACAGCAACAACAAAAAACAAAATAAAACAACAACAAAAAAACAGCAGATATCATTGAACTTAAACTGGTAAGTAGATCGATAAAGCAGGCAAGGAATTGGAAACAAATTTAGGAAAAAATGATAATCATAGTAAATGTAATAACAATGATAATGATAATGATAGTAATGATCTTAACTAGTGCCAAATCTGTAACTGAAATGGGTGATCATAGTTCGCCATTCATTTTACCTGTTTCACACAACTGTTTGGCCTTTCCAAGTAGGTTGCTCTGGGTTTATGGGTTTATAATAGATAGAAGAAGAAGAAGAAGAAGAAAAAGAAGAAGAAGAAGAAGAAGAAGAAGAAGAAGAAGAAGAAGAAGAAGAAGAAGAAGAAGAAGAAGAAGAAAGAATTAATAATAATAATAATGATAGTAATAATGATAATATTATGAAAATAATAGCAGTGATAATGTTAAAATGATAATAATAATAATTATAATAGTAATAATAATAATAATAATAATAATAATAATAATAATAATAATAATAATAATAATAATAATAATAATAATAATAATAAGGGGTTTTTCAAGTTTTCGAATGATTTAAAATGTGCTCATTTCGTGATAGCGACTAAGTGTTTTGTAATACGTGAAGCTTTGAGAGTTGTTTCCTGCATTGTGATTTCCCAAGAGATGCAGACTCTTGTTTAAGTAGTTTAAGTAGTTTACTCAAGATATCTCATAGAAATATCCAAACTATGACACTCCAGCCTAGAGATAAGATTTTTAGCGTGTCATGGGAACATTGAAAGTTTGATACAACGCTGTATCGGACAATTTTTTAATCCCTCAGGAAAGATATTTTGTAGCATTTTTCTCCAATTCCCCTAGCTAGCTGTACATGAGTACTTGCCTATCGCTAGAAACAGTTCTTATGACAATGGTTCTGGTATGTCTCTAATGAGTACAAATGCCGAATGTCTCACGAGGTGATTGAGATTGTTTTCAGTGGGAACAAGCTGGCCAGGCAGATTGTTTTAACGTCACGTGGACTGCACGAAATGTAATAATTGCTCTAAACGGGTTGCTTGTTAGCTTGTTTGTGTTTTAATGGAAAAGGGGGGGGGGGGTTGGATGCTCTTTGTTGTCGACGTTGCGATTATTTTAGCCCAGTCCCATTGTTAATTCTCAAGTTTATGAAGGCGCGCTATCATGAGCCACGCTTAAACTAGTCTTGGAGGGCTCTGGTAGTCCAGAGGTTAAGGTGTTTGCCTCTCATTCAATGGTTCCCGGGTTCAAAACCTAACCGAGACAGAACATTTTCTTCTTTAAAATTTTCTTCTTTCACATCCTTTCCAGTCGTCTGCCTTCGTCTCCAATTTCTGCCCCAACTCCCCCCCCCCC